CTTTTTGCCAGCATCTTGAGCATGAAGACATCACACAACCGACCTCACACATACGAGTATCTAAAATCATAATGACTGGAAGCGAAGGTGCCCCGGCCCGAGCAAAGCAGCGCTCTACATACCCGCCATAAGACACTGGAGCATGGCTCACTTCCGCCGGCGACCGGACCCAGGACCGACATCTTAAACCACTTATCGTGATGCTGGTAGTCTGACCATATCCTTGAGACCATAGCAATGATGGTGATATCTTGTGATAATGTGCATGACAACGGTACTAGCAGTACATGATTCTAACAATTTATGTATATATATATATATACACAGATTGTATGTATGTATGTATGTATGTATGTATGTATGTATGTATGTATACATATGTATATATGTATACATATGTATATATGTATACATATGTATACATATGTATATATGTATACATATGTATATATGTATACATATGTATATATGTATATATATATATGTATATATGTATATATGTATATATGTATATATGTATATATGTATATATGTATATGTGTATATATATATATACATAAATAAATAACTAAGTATATATATATATATGTATACACATATATATACATATATCCTGCAGGCGGAAGCTCAGTCGAGCGGTACGCTCGGACTCGGCTCTGAGAAGTCGGAGACTGCAGGCCGCAGAGTGAGTCTGTGTCTGTGGTTTTAAAACAGCGTGTGGCAAAAAGCAAAAAATAGGAATCTGTGTCAATAATAAATACAGAGAATGAGAGTATGCATAAAAGACAAATATGTCCGAGTTTCAGGCACTGCTTGGGCATCTAGCGGAAACTCACAAACTCTCAGAATGCGCTCTGCCCCTAAATCTGGTGTTCTCCCGCACCTCGCAGGATGTGGCGGGATGTCAGTTGTTGGCAAAGAGCTTGATGGGTCAGAACCGGTGCTGAGCTTACTTTCACTAGGCAGCAGGCATTGCGGCACGACTCATCGCTAAAGCACAGCATGCGAAACTCTTGTACCTTCAAGAATTGTGGTCAGATTGCTTTGACGAGTTCGGGGAGCCCTGCGAGTCGTCCCAACGCAAGCCACAGAAGCACCGAATAGGCCCTCGGAACGGGCGACTTTCCTAGCTTCTTCGACCCCACATCCCTGAAAAATCCAGTGAAAAAAAGCTCGAACCACCTTCTTTCAACCCCTAAAGAAACATCTAACTTACCAAGTCCAAGAAGCCAAATGTCCCGAACTAGTAGGTTGCCGCAGACTGCGATTGACTTTCCCACTCTTCCCTTCCTATTCCGATCCGGAATCCGAGTGCCCTGCTTCTTTAGACACCGTACGCACTTGTTCCAAGCCTGAGGCCGGCTTCTGGCGAGTTGTTACTAATTTTTCTGGTGCCTGCTACTATATTCTATCAAAAGCAGATGAATATGTGTACTGTATTGCATGGTATTTTCGTGTGACATTGTAGTATATTTTGCATTCTAGAAATTCCATCATATTCTACTGGACTCTGTTATACTGTGTGAATAGGGCATTAAAGGTATTTGTATAGCATTATACTGCATTCCAGTCGTTTAAACTATATTCTGCGATGCTATATTGTACGATGTCATATCATAGTATGGTATAGTCTAGTCTAATCCTGTCTGGTCTAGAATAAGTTTACTATCGTATAGTAAAGTACAGTATGGCGTACAGTAGGGCATAGTAGAATATGGTATCGTATAGTATTGTATAGTATAGTATAGTATGGTATGGTATGGTATGGTATGGTATAGTATAATACAGTAAGTCGATCTTAGTATGCCATGCTTATGTTGATATGTACACGTATGTTACATGTATAGACTTATAGACTCGATATTATATGCTGTCATATCATATCATTTCATATAAAGCCATAATACTATGTTATATTATGTTTCAGTCTATGTTACGATTTCGTTATAATCAGGTGATATAATAGTAGATTTAGGGTAGACTTAGGGCCTCGCTTTACGCTGGAGGCTGGGCTTTGGTTTTGAAATGTTTGGCAACCTCGACCCTGTTGCTGCACAAAGAGGCTTGTCAAGCATCGGAACCTGAAAGCACGGACACTGGTTGAACGGATTTGCGGATTTGCAAAGGCTCCAACAGCAGACAAGGTGCGGTAAAAGACTTTCTTCACATCTGCTCGAAGCTGCTTGAGCTCCTTGCCGCATCGCAATACATAGTGCAACTCAGACAAGTTCGTCAAACACACAAATCCTGACAAAGGCCTCCCGGTCACCTGCAGCTCTGTCGGTGCATGTGGGGGCGGCATCAAAATCCCACTGCAAGGTACGAGCTCAAATTTCAAGAACACAAGTTAGGCATGAATCTGCAGCGACCGGATGTGCCGATCTGGAAACAACAGGCTTAGACGTACATAGACACGCACACAGGCAAACACAACTTGAACGGTAGGAAACACCCTTGCATGGATGATTCGGTCTGGGGAGCTGGAGGGAAACCACGAACAGGAACATCGAGCAGTGGAGGCAATCACGCGAGAAGTGCTTTGGCTGTAATGGTCCTTCCGGATGACTGTGTTCTCATAGCTCATCCTTGCCTGAACATTGGCTGTTGCTCCAGACGGGCTCTCGGAGCAGAGTTGGGATGGCTCAACCTTCGGTGCACGCAAGAGATCTTGCAAAAGGAGAACCCCTAACTCCATCTGCACAGCTCTGGTCTACTCAGCTGGACGATTGAAGTCTGAACTTCGAGTGAGTCCGAAAAGCAAGAACTTGGACTCAGACTATCTATGCTTGCAAGTACATCCGCTCGGTCGGATGCTACCTCGCTGCACCTTGAATCCAAATCACTATCCCCTGTCCGCCCAAGCTGCAATCTGCAGGCCCTTGGCAGGACCTTGCAGCTGCATGCAGCCGTAGACGAACTCTTCCTGCGACTCCGAATTTAGGCATTGCGCTCCAGCGTGCAGGCTTCAAATTCTTAGGCAAAGATGGCTTGCTTGTCATTGTCAAGGCCGGAGCCCTGAAGCTTACATGTAGCGTATTGAATCTTGCATTAGCGACTGACTGTGTTTGCTGCTGCTCTCTCGACTGTTTGCGGCTCTGCTGCTCCATGAGTCTCTACAGCAAGCATGCACATCCGCATCGTTCCATCAGCCTCTTGTGCTGAAAACTACGGTAGGAAACGTGACGGAAGGGGAGTCTGTGAAATTACATATCGTGTGCGTCCTCCTTGCAGAACGGGGCAGGAAATTGGATTTCGCGCGCTGCGCAGCAATGCAGGAGGAGCAAGATTGCCCGCTATCCAGTTCTATCGTTCTACGGCCGTCCACCCCGAAACCCGCTCCAGCGTGATCTCGCCGCTGCCATCTGCATCGATCACCCTGCTTGCAGTGGGGTTTTCAGGTTCGTGATCCTGCGACGCCGCCATGAAAAAAGATCAACGGAAAGGGAAGTTAGGACGGTGAATGAGACACCCAGGAAGATCATACAATCGAAAAGCCGGCACTTCATAAGCTGTAAAAAGCCAATGCCTCGCGGCGAAAACGACGTCCCTGTGTATAGGGTGTTTGCATTCTATCAAGGTTCGAACGAATGTTTGTACTGAAGGGACAGCAGCGGTACAATGGCAAGAGAACCCGTGACGACACGATTATTGACTATATCGTAATCACCATCGCCAAATTCCTCCCAGTTAAAGTCGTCACGTGAAAGCCCTGGACAGCAAATGACAAAAAGCAATGTAAACGCTTTGGGTGATCTTTTCATCGCAAAGCTACTGCCGTCCTTCCCTTTGCTGTTGCTGACTCTTCTCGAGAGCCTTCTCAGGTAGAGGAGGACTAGCGGTATGGTAACGACTATATCATCTGAAAATAATACCAAACCAATTCAGCTCAACGATAGGAGATCTAGCCTGGCAGCTTGCCCGAGAAGTCGTGAAGTAAGAGCCCGGAGCCCTGGAACCCAAAGAACGCAGCTGCAGCAAAGGCACATGAAGAGGGTGAAGACATCGTTGGTGGAGATGTCCATCCTGGGCTAGAGCAATCTGGCACAGTGGGCCAGGCAGTGGATGCTAAGATGTGACTTGGATGCAACACAGGCCTTTCCGTTTTAAAGCCAGAAAGTGTACCCGTGCAAACCCGTAAAACAAGAAATTACAGTACCATGTCATGCCAAATGTTCGAAAGACCCAGGTGCAGGCGTGGTTTTTAACACTTCCACTTTTTGCTTCAGAACCTCTAGCGTACCCACAATGGTCCTGAACCACTAGCTTTGCGAACCATTCGACTTCCGGGCGGCGCGAACTGCAATTCACTAGTCGGATGTCAAAGATTTCGGGGACTTCCATCATAAACATGTCCACAAAAAAACTTCGACCCTAACCTTGTCACCCATCTTCCATTCGATATGCCCGAAGCCTGAAATTCTCAATCGAGTCTTCTGGATACAACTCATGCCAGCTTCGACTGCATGAAGCTGGACATCTTTTGGCCCCTCATCGCCTCCTTCGCGTGGGCCGAGCTGCTGCAATGGATCTTCACGGAGACTAGAAGCAAATGCTGCAACACCTTTCGATATGAAGAGGAACACGTTCCATGGCGCACGTGCTTGAACAGCTGGGATAATACAAGATTATTATCGCTAACTGCATCTCCTTAAGCTCTGCAACGGTGATCACGTTGGATCCATCCTTGGCCAGAAACTACGCGGTATACCTACAGAGACTGTTTGGATAGGGCTTAGAACAATGGCATATCACATGCAAACTGATATTTTTGTGGGAGTTGCCCATCTTCATGTTGATGCCTGTCACTGATATGTCTGGAATCAAAGAACACACAGCTTGCGTCTTCTGCGGACAACTTAAAAGATGTTCCATCGTCGCTATCACAGGCGCGCAGCTCCACTCTCATGTGCTGTCGAAACCATCAGCCCATCGATGCTGCCCGAATTTGCCGAGTGACCGACCATTCATTACATTGACCGCAACACTGCATAGTACCGATCTCATGCGAAGACACTCATGCTATGCCTTGCAAGAACTAGCAACAAGGAACAATTGCAGCAATGGAGACTGCTAGCACCAAGACAAGAAGCCAGATCAATTTCGTGGAAGATCTCTCGCAGGGAATCCACTTGCGCCTGTGCGAAAACACTCACTGACAAAATTAATGAGCAGCGTGTGCGGCCCATTGTGAAAATTCATTACTGCTTGGGACAAACAACCATGGGGGCAACATGCACGGACGCTAGTTGTGGATGCAATCCTGACACAAAATTCGGCTCCAAGCAAACTCAAGTGTCTGCGCACCGCACGGGATAATGTTAGTAAAGAAGCACCAATGCGAAGCTTGACCCAGGGCAGCCTCATGCTTGTGGATTTGCTGCATGATGGCAATGTCCTGCAACAATGCGCACTAAGTGGTTGCCAGATATCAAGCACATCAAGCTCAAGTCCTTGTCGGCACGCGCAGACTCGATCGCCATATTACAGAAGACACCAGTGACCTGAAATCTGTCTAAAACTAACTAACTTTGTTCTGGTGCCGGCAGCCCCCATATGGACAGGACACCACTGTGAGCCCCTCATATCAAAAGGAGGGGCAACCATATGACATGAGAGCATAAGCGCAGCCAGCCGCACGAACTAAAGGCAACACTTGACAACTCATGTGCACAACCATCCTAAAATCCACCAAACAAGCGGCAACCAACGAGGCCTAAACTCGAGCACACCAAGCACGACAGAGCCTGGGTGAAAGAGAGAAAGAGCCTCAAACGACATGTGAAAGAAAACTCCCACTCTCACAGCCAGACACAGAGGAGCCTGGCAAGAAAGAACTGACATGAAATCTGTTGACGAACTAACTTTGTTCAGATGCCGACAGCCCCATGATGGACAGGACACTTCTGCGAACCCTCGTTTCAAAAAGGGGGCGGCCATCTAACGTGAGAGTGACAACGATGCCCGAAACAAAAAGTTGTGGCATCACTTGACAACTCATGTACCTATCCACTCAAGAAAACAACCAAGCTAAGAACCCCCTATTACTCACACCAGATAGGGAGGAACCTGGATGAGCAAGAACGGGGTCCCATGCGAACGACCGCAACATGTGCGACCGCGACAACCAAATCAAGACTCCGTCTACCTCGCCACAGGTACGTTTGAAGCCTAGCCGACCCATCCCCGGCGCCGGAAACGACCGCAGGGCAGGCGAGAACTCAACAATGGACTTCCACAACACTCCCAACACATGTGATGCCAGTTGCCTAGAACATCGCACCATTAAAGGTCACTGAACACACGCATCGTCTGGAAGCAAGCAAGACTGACTATAAGGCAACAACCTTACAACTTGGATTTGTTTTATCAACCGCCTCTTACCTAAGAGTCAGAGAACTAGGGCCGACATCGAAGAGGCATACGCCCCAACAGGCTTTTCTGATGACAGCCCATCGCAAAATCAAGTGTTGGATCCTCCAAAAAAAGTCCGCAGAAGCAAATTTGGGTTGCCAAAAATGCAACCTCCCGAAGTCTGTCTTTAGCCGTAAACTACACCCGCGACCTGGCTAACAAAATCAACCCCAGGAACCCTGACGGAATCACTAAGAAACTTGGCAGAACCTTCTTCAACGGCTTTCCTGATTCGTGCAGCTCCTTTGCAAAGTAACTTGGTCTTGCCCTCATTTTCATCAAGACCAATCCCTGTGGCTTCCGTCATCCAAACGTGACGACTTGCGACGGACTTTGCAAGGCAACTCTTGCAGACCTGCTCGCAAATTTGCGGTCATGCAGGTAGACGGCTGTGACGGGTTGAGGAATCCCCGAACTCCGAACAGAAACACTCACACTTGCTAAAATCCCATCAGTGCTAAACGGGCCACAGCCTTCGGCAGCTTCCCTCCGCAAAGGCAGGCTCGCGCAAGCAACAATTATGCAATTGCAGCCACCTGTGCTGATGAAGCCAAGTAGGCAAACAAAGCCGTATGATTTGCCTAGGACACCCTAGAGCTTGCAAGGCTTCCAGGCTCAAGACCCCGTTCAAAACTCTGATCAAAAATTACAGCTTTTGGCGAATGCGCTCTGCACCCGCGCAGTCCACCGTAGGCTTCCTTTGGCCTCCACGCACTAATCCACAGCTGAATAGCGTCTCTGTCATAGACATGCCGTGTGTCCTTCACGGAGACTGCCTGATCGAACTGCCGCCGGATCGACAGCACAAGGAAGATGGCCAGCTGAACTGCCCCTAGTATCAGCTGACAGAAAGACTTCAGCTAGTGATTCCGACTCCACCTGACCAGATGTGGGTCTGGATCTGGCTCATGTACTCAAGGATTGACGTGCCCTGGCACTGCCAACCGAAACGCTTGGAAGGCCGTCAAGCCGGTCAGGGCGAATGCGGACATCGCCGGAAGACGTGATCATGAGTGCCTAGCTGCCTAGCTCATTATCACCACATGCAGCGGGTCGAAAAGAGACAGCAGTCATCATGCTGAAACTAAGCAGGAGTGACAGTAGCTCCAAGAGCCGCCGTTCGAGCAGGGCATCAGAAGAAATGAACTTCTTGATGCTTTTCCAATCTTTCCGTGAGAGGGATGCAGCACCGACCTCGTCAAATGTCATGCCTGTAGGTTCCTACAAAGCTTGTGCCATCACCAGAGGCGCCAGCCTTCTCGGAGGAAGTCCTGGGCCTGGTCACAAGTCCTCTGCCAGACCTCAGTTCCACACGCCTACTACGGCTTCCCACACCAAGGAACAACACGTCGCGGCGCACCATGCCATGGTTAAGGCATTTAGCAGCCACTCGGGCTGTAGACAAGGTTGCGGTTGCAAGGAGCCCAACATTCCCGCTCCAGGTCTGCCAAACCTGGATTTCAAGCTTCAGGCTTTCAACACTGCTGGCCGTCAAGGATCTATCATCCAGGCAGACATACGTGCAGCAATCACGAGCGACGAAGGGGTGTTGGTGGCAACCCATCAGCACCCAGCCAACAGCCACAAGACCGCAACAAGGGGGCGAGCAGGGTCTCGTTGAGGAACATGAAGAGGACATGACATGGGAAGGGCAGCAACATGACCTTTGCAAGACAGCCCACGTTTGTTGTGGCTCGTCCACATGCGCCCGGCCAGGGCAGAGAGCTCTGGGTGAAATTCAGCGTGCTGCAGTCAAACCCACATCCGGGTGAATGACCTGGCCAGTCCATGCTCTGCACTCATCCCTTCGAAGCCACGTGCTCATGAGCAACCGCCACCTAATGCTCAGGGCAGTGATTGGCCGAGCCATCTTGCTTCAGCTTGTCACTAACGACATTGTGGTCTCTGCTGAAACACACGCAGCGAGCTCAGCACCGGTTGTTTCGTGTGGACATTCCCAACCCATCTGCAGCGGATTACAACCCGTCGTCTGCTGTCTTTTAGCCACGGTTGTCGGGATAGTGTTTGCCTCAATCTCACAAGTATCCTGAGGCTCGGTCTGTGGAGCAAGGGGTTTGCTCTCACTGCCAAGGGGTTTCTCATGAGTGGCTTCATGCACCCAAACAAAGGAAGTAACTCGGCCAAGTTGGGCTAAGAAATAAATATTATCGTCATCCTGAGCTGTTGCGGGTAAGCCACCATCCAATGTAAGACGAAGACGATCACTCGTTGGCATGCCAGCACGCGGCATTCTAGCTACGGAAGTGAAACCGTCAACACCAAATAAGGAAACATCCTCAACGTGCAACGTTACTTGTTTAATTGTATTGTGGGCCCGCATGGCCAATCTTTTAAATTTGTCTCGGTGATCTCAAATAATTCTTGCTCCAACCTTTGACAAAATATCCAGTGCACCATTCGCTGCCTCAAGAGGCCCTGCACCGACCACATGGAGGTAGCGCATGTAGATGCACTTGACCACTCATGTACTCACTCAACCACTCCAAAAGACAAGCAAGCTAAGAATTGCAGCTTTCTCACAGTAGATACGGAAGAACCTGGCTGAGGAGAGAACGGGCCCCATGCACTCAACTACGCCTGACATGAGCCACCATTTGAAAGCAACCAACGAGGCACGACCGAGACATCCATGCTACTCCTATAGTAGGACTGCTAATTAACAGTCCCATCTACTTCATTACAGGTACTTTTGAACCTGTGCGAAATAAATCAGGACTCTATCCGACTCAGCCTTGCGGCCCCATCCCCAGAGCCGGAGAAGACCACAGCTTGGAGGCGGCAAGCGAGAGCTCAACAATGGACTTCCGCAACACTCCCAGCACATGTGATGCCAGGTGCCTAATGCATTGCACCACAAACAGCGGTGACTGAAAATACGCGTCTCATGAAAACAAGCTGGACTGACAGTTGCCCCTTAGGCAAAGTAAAGGCCCTACAACCTGGACTCTTCATCCAGCGACGCACATGCTCAAAAATCACAGCAGCGAAAAGCCTGAAGATCAACACTACTAACATCCACGCCCACACGCCCACCAGATGACACAAAGGGACTCCAACAGTACTCAGGCCAACCAACGCGAAGGTTGTGACCTGAAATGTTGCGTGCAGACAGCCCTGGGACGTCACCGCACGCATGTAAGCTTGTTTCTGCCCAACTTCCCCGAAGGGACAAGAGACCGCTGCGAGCCCTTCAAGAAGTGGAAGTGTCCATTTCACATGAGGAAAGCAAACGAAGCCGAAGGTGGCAACACCTGGGGGAGTACTAACGTTGACCCGGTGCCAACGACTTGAAACTTGCGTCCCAAAATACCCAAACGTATCAAGACCCGAAAGGCGACTGTTGAGCAGTTATTCGCTCTCGTCAAGGAATCTCTCCCCAAGTACTTGGGCTAACCATGAGAGCAATCGATCATCGTTTGCACTTCTAGCCGGCAGGCAAGTAATGGGCCATCAAAGGCGGCGGGCTTTGCACAATATCAGCGCATTGCGTGATATCCTGTGGCCGAGGTGCCTGTGCACATCCCCAACAAACGTGAAACCCGAATTGCACGATGCACTCATGTGTCAGTAGCGAAGCCGACTGACAGTAGCACCAGCAATCCCATCACATGTGAATATGCTGGAGACAGGAGATCACAGTGAGTGCGAACTGCACACAACGTTGAGGCGATTTCATTGTAGGCGGTTCGCGCACACTCAAGACATCCTAGCGAATGCTCCAATGTGCCTACGTTCTCCTGCGGGCCAAAAGAAACCACCGTGGGTCCAAGTCCACATCCCATTCTGAGGCCAACCGAGCTCTTGAGGCCTCTATGCAGGTGGCCGACGAGGCTCCAACCCGAACGGCTGCGCCAGGGAGGCAAGGCACCGTAAAAGAAGATCAGCAAGGGCGATGGAGAGGCTGATCGGGGGATGATGAAACGGTGGCTTTCTGAGAATATATCTGTTCGCAAGAGTATCATTCTTCGGCTCCAACCCGTTCTCATAACAGGATGGTGCAAGGCTTCGACAGGCTGCCGTTCGACGGACACGCAGGACGAAACTTTCTAACGCAGCACGTAGTGTTCCGGTGCCAGACCGCCACATAGACGGGACACGCGTAACATCGCAACAACTGTGCAGAGCAACCGTAACACGAGACGCCGAATGAATGTGTCATGCAACAACACAGCGAAACCATGCCACGACGATTTATCCCACACATCCTTCGAACCGACACATCCAATCGCGAGCCTATACTTTGCGAGAGCCTTCCTGAAGGCAATGGAACCCAGCAATCAAAAGCTAACATTCGCACCAGGAGCAGCAAGAGCTACGATGGCCCCCTTGAACGAAATCCAAACACAAGCAGAATCGCAGAACAAGTGCAAGCCGAAAGTCCATCTCTGCACGTCGATCGCGAGCAAAGCAACAACTTCGAATCCGATGGGCCCCGACGTTGCTGAACAGTCTGAAAGCATGCCTTCGTGCAGCGAAACCCGCTCTAAGGCTGCTGCAACATTCAACACGGCTAGCACGGTTATCACGATGTACAGGATCAAGCCAGTCACAGCCTGAAGAGTTGCAGGGCGAGGGCCAAGGGTACAGACAGGCGGATGCCTAATCGGAGCAGGAGGAGTGTTGTTCTAGCTGCGCCCAGTTGCCAGTGCGGCTGTTGCGGGCCTTTGCCAAAAGTGAAAACTGTCCACAAAGATGTCGCGAACGGGCGATCTGAAAACCCTACACAAGCAATGCTGACCGACAAGTTCTAAATGCCGAGGGCTACACAGACCAATCAGATAATCAGTCAAACCCAAGAACTACACAAAGCTGAGACCGTCAAAGGAGGTTCTCGACTAGGAAGTAAACAAGTCTGTGAAGAAACGGAAGAAACGTCAAACACTACTGATCACGCCGGGTGGCGGGGCAATTAACACAGCCGCAGGAAGACAGAAGCCATGCAAAATGGTTCAATGAAACCCGTGCTTTGTCTGCCCATTCGCTGAAATCTGTAATTCCTGATTCTGCTACTGTAGCTACTGCATGGCATCCATGTTCGTCATCACGCCAAAACAAACAGAATTAACAAACGAGTCACGATCTCCGAGATGGACCGCAAAGGCATCAGGGCATCATTCCAGCTCAGCCCGCCGGTGATGGCCATGAGAAGCCTTAGACCAATGTGCTCCGGAATGACAACGACGATTTCGTCTCAAACCACATTCTAGATGAACGGCTGGCTGGATGATAATTTTAATGATGTAACGAAGAAGATTCTAAAACAGGCGATTGAGATGCCGCGCTCGTATTACGGTATGGTCAGTTAAGTGACAGAACTCATGCTCTGCAGAAGGCGGCTGCTGGATGGTGTCAGGAAAGGAGGCTTCAAAAAGAAGTCAAGAAAGTCAATCTTGGACTTGCGCTTCCAAGTGCACATGACCTCAAGCTGGTCCAAGAGAAAATTGACATTGCCGTTTAGGCACGTCAGCATGCTTTCAGGCACGCTGGACCAATATGTCAGGAGTTTGCCGAACACTTCCTGCCATGTCGATTGGTTTCATTGGAGTGCTCGGGATGCCTGAGGGGTTGACCCGGTGTGCCGTGGAGCCGCATAATTGGGGCCATAGAGTACAGGATGCAACAACATGTGACAAATCTATTCTACATACGAAAGCCGGTGTACATGCTTACTGCTGCTGTTGGTGCTGCTGCGGTTGTAGTCAGCTTTGCTTGTGGTGGTCGTTCGGCTTCTGCTGTTTTTGCTGATGCAGTGGCCCATCTTACATTGTACCGGCTGCATTGTCGTTTAAGTGGCTCGAGTATTGCTCGCTGTTCAACATCCAGCGACAAGTTAGTGTTGTATCTCGTGCTGATGTTGTGTCGTGGCTTTGTGTTGTTATGGTCCGCCAGCTGCCGCTGCTGCTGGTTGCTACTACCGCTTCTGCCGTTGTGGTTGGCAATGCTGCTATCATCAAACTTTCACTCGTTATGGTTCTAGGTCGTCAAGGCTGTGTTGGACATTGACGACGCAATTGCAGCACCTCTTAAGTAGTCCTGTTAATGCTCTTAGTTGGTGTCCTGTTGCTGCGACTGCGATCGCTGCCCTTGTCGTCGCAGGTGCTGGTGCCTGCTGCTGCATGTATTGCTAGCACCGTTGATAACAGTTTGTTCATTCCTTTGGATGTTGTCTTATTGTTCGGACAAAGTGACAAAATAATCAATAGTTCAAAGAATACCGTTGCTGGTGGTGTTGTTGTTGTGGCTGATGCGGTGGCTGCTTTGGTATCACAATGCTACTCTTCTCCTTGTGGTGGGAAGCGGTCTGTATACAGCTATCCGTAAGACTGTAATATTTATGAACATGTACGGTGCCTGTATGCACATATGGTGGTATACATGTATACATATATGTATGGTACCCCCGGCCCGCAGACCTACCTCCCACGCCTGTTGACATCAAATTGCCCCAAACTATACACGGACATGTATACTCTGTACATACATATACATGTGCGTGTACACCTTAGTGCGCTTTAGCACATCTTGCTCTATGCGTGAGCATGTCTTATGCTTAGGAAGAAATACCTACGTTGAAACCGGCATTGAAAACTTGAACTTCCATGCACCCAGGCCCGTGGAACCAAGAACTAGGATCCAAGATTCATCGTGAAGTTCAAGATGGAGATAATGCGCAAGTGTGCTGAGGTCACTGAGTGCGGAGTGGGCACATGTCTAAACGACATCCGCGCAACACGTTCGCCCTGATAAGTGTGTACAGAGCTGCCAGAGTATGATGCAAAAGGATTCCGTGTGTGTGTGTGCTATGGAAACAATCGTCATATGCAGTCACACCATTCAAGTCCTGTCAAACTATGCAATATGATAGTACAATCGAAAACTGAAAATGACGAAACGAAAAATAGTACCGTGATACTTAACTGTGCACTGTACTATCACGTTGCATGATATGACAATACGATAGAAAATGGATAGGATGATACCTGTTCTTTGTATCAACATAGTCAGTTCAAATGTTATGTTCTTCCATAACATATGCGAGTATGGGAGAAAATAATATGCACATATAAAGTCCCAGTTCAAAGTATACCATATAGGCAGAATGGGAGCTATGCATGTGTGTAAAAGTATATTACGTGTAGACACACGAGACAATGTCATACGTTTCTTTTCTCCTGGATGAGTACGTGCTCATATCGTGCGGTAGCATACGTATGCACAATACAGTACTTATGGACAATAACAATATTTTTATATATCTTGATCCGCGGACCTACGAGGTGCTGCAGTGGTGCCGGATGAAGTCTCAAGCCCTGCTTGTCTGTGCTTAATTTGGCTCAAAAAAAAGCACCCTCTGACCTCGGACTCTAAACCGATTCGCAGTAGCGGGGCTACAGGGAAAACTTGGTATGCTTATTTACGTTTGAGACAATGTTTAGAATGATTTGCAGTAGCGGGGCTACATGCAACACTTCGTAACCACACGTTGGGACAGCAAAAGCTCTCGAAATATATCCTAAAGCCCACGATTCAAGACGAAAAGCAACAAGGTGTGTGTAGGGTTTAGGGGCAGAGGGTGCGGGTGCTTGAGTCGAATTAAGTGCAGACGAGCGGGTTAACGCTGCATACGGCACCATCCACCTTGCATGTATATGGAATGCTTTTGTTTCATAGGCTTCTACCCCCCTGGGATTCTGTATGTGCTTTAATGTGCATACGTAGATTTACTAAGAATAGCAGCAAACGGAGTACAGTAAGTCTTGGCATGACTATTCAAAATCTATAGATCCCAGATCAAAGTTGTAGGTCAGGTTTGCTGTGGTAGTCTACAGAGGCGGCAAGAAGCTTGCAAGGTAGGTTCAAGGAGGTCCGGTTTGCTGGGGCAGTCTAACGAGCTTTGATTCAATCATCTTGCAAGATACGTCTTGGGAGGGGGGCCGGGTAGCATACAATTATATACATAAATATATATATATATATACCCACATATGTTAGTCGAGATGTGACAGTGCATCGTTCATCATGATAATCGGCTGCATGCACATCGAAGAATTTCGTCATGTTCATATACATCTGTGGTGACCCCTGTCCGCATGTAAACATTGCTGCATGGTATGTGGAAGTGTATGTTCACGGGATGAGGGTGCCTGCCAGAGCAACTTTGCACTTAATGTGCATACACATTCCTCTTGATCTCTTGTATATCCATACAAGCACCTACATAGAAAATGGACACAGAATGATAAAGATATAATTACGTGAGTATTTCATGTACTTATAGATACGAGCTATATGATATGCACACGAACTGCGTTTCACGATTGAGTATAGTCTTGTAGATGCAGGTTCTATACCGTGAAGACATTTCATACTGGATTAATAGACTCTTGGGCACTCACACATATAGGAGGGACTTCCGTGTCCTCATTGGCGCAGTCCAAGGGAACTGGTTGGAACTTCACGTGCCTGCAGTGGTCTGTGACCTCAGAATCTTAGGAAAGGGAGCAGACCTTGGTATGATGCTGGTGGCTACGGTGACCTGGAAAGAAGGACGGGCTTCCGGGAAGAAGTACAAGAACCAAGAGCCGTCGAAGGACGTGGACAAAAGACTGTCGGTAGCGGCTGCTGTCCCTGTGTTCTGTTCAGCGAGCTGGACCCATGTCAACTCGTTAAGTGTCGGATAGCAATGGAGCCGGCACCGAGCCGTAAGCAGTAACTTTCAACAACTTAAGATCCCTCAGAATTGACACGTTATTATGCTTGCTGCATGTGGCTGTCATGGTATAGCATGTCATCTGGGCATCTTTCTGGCCGAAGCAGCGATTTGTGCGATCAGCACGCCAAATAAGTAGAAAAGGACCACCAGCAGCAGGGACGTCCAGAAGACGGAGCCCAGAGTACTGATGATGGAGAAGACAATGGTTCTCAGCGCACCTATGTACCTCCGAGGTCATGCAGACGCTTTGGCTCCGACACAGAGACTTGTTTTCTGGCGCATTGCCGGGCAACCGGTGTCCATCGTGCTTCCGGGGCAGTTCTTCAACGTAACTTCAAGACCCATCGCTTGTGTATTCTTCCTTACGAAAAGGATGCATGCCCCGTCCATCACCAAGCCGTCCCGGGCACCGCAGGAGCCGTACCACACGGATGCCTCTCAAGGCGCGGACAAGGCGAAGGAAGCCTCGGCTGTTCAGGTAGGACCTATCAGTTGAAGATTAGGGGTTCAACGTGCCTGGTTCAGGGCTTCCGGTTCAGGGTTTGGGGCGTCAGGTTAGGTCACGGTCTAGGATGGGGTTGCAGCATTGGGCTTGGAACTGAGGTCTCTGCGTGCCCACGGGGATTCGGCTGTTGAGCAGCGGAGCCAGGCTTTGGCACCGTCATTACAGGTATCCTACCTGTTAAGGGCTCACAATCCTTGTAGCTTCCAGCGAGCTCTTATGTCATTCCGATTCTACGCAGGTAGCACATGGTAGCACCCATGCCTACATCCCTTTCGGGACCTCCCCCTGCTGTGCGCTCTGGAAGCCTTGCATGCTAGCACCGCAACACTCTAAATTCTCCGCCAGTTCATCATCAACTGATTGGACCTGGCACTTTACGCTGAACCGGAACCTGCACACAGGACCAACGTACGAGCTCCAGAGAGGATGGTTGCGACCCAGCAGCGCATGATTCGCAAGTGGCTTGGATCCATCTGTGTCTGCGCCCTCTGCTCACAGTCACAAGCAGCAAGGAAACAAGGCGTGCTTAGCTCATGCACCTAACCAATCAACACAAACACAGACACGCACGTACAGAGAACACGACCTGCTGGATGCTACAAACCAGAAGGCAAACATTGCCAAACGTCCTTCACCATATGTTACCACTGTTCCCATGCTATTGGGATATCGAAAACGGCTCGTGTTTACCCTGATGGTGCCCATGCGTTCTTGCTATATCGCTCCTGCAAAACAAGTCCACGGATCATCCTAAACCGTACAGTAAACGCCCAAATCCTCAACTCTTGACCCCTTGATCAGCTCTTGACCCTTAAGCCTGAGCCGTGATCCCTTGAAGCCCTGAGCCCTGTAAGCCCGAACCCCCCGAAAGTAGGCAGAATCCTGGTCCAAACCTATAAGGGGCGGGGGCTACTCTTCTACATAAGGGGTCCAGGTAAACCCACAAAGGCTTCCCGCCCACAAAATAGTATAGGTAGTTATTTAGGCCCCTATATTAGGTCTCCGGTCACTAAACCCCAACCTTGCCCTAAACCCTAGATTCCCAACATGTACGAAATCTAAATTGGGAAGCTGCATCGACGTCGGCCAACTTGCCAACGAAGCCACACAGCAGATAACAGGAGCTCCGCCAACATCTCGAAAACTGACAGGACTACTATGAACAGGTCGAACAGGTTCCACCTGGGCCGACGAAGAAGATGCTAGAATACCACAGGCTGGACTATCACATGGAATCAACACCGCAGAACCAAGTGACACTAGTAGAGTAGAAGTCTCGAACTGACAACATCTATGATGGCGCCACCGAAACTAAACGTCGATTTCAACAGTTTTTCACTAGGGCTCCATATTAAACCATAAGAGGAATTCAATATCATCCCAAATCGATACCTAGCAAACCCTAGATATTGCCGCAAAATGTGTGTGTAAAGTGGAGGGAAGGAGGAATCCTGAATCACTGGCGTCTGCTCGATCGTTCGGGAGTGCTGCTGCTGTCAATCGTAGCACAGTCGCGATCTTCCTCTTCGACTACTATGGTTTAGGGTTTAGGGTTTAGGGGTTTCGGGGTTTAGGGGTTTAGGGGTTAGGGGTTAGGGTTTAGGGGTTTAGGGATAATTGTCCGTTAGGTACGGTTGCTCCTGTAGCTGTTGCTCAAAGCTCGCCAACGAAAGCGCTGTGGCAGTCAGCGTTTTTGTGCCGATCCGCAGACCATGGCACCACACCAAATGTGGCTTGGTATCGACATGTCCAGCCGGTGGAAGCTGGCTTGCAAAGGCCTAAACATCCAGCTGGTAGGCCTGGAAAGGGTATGCCAGGATCAACTTGCTTCGCAGGCTGCGCACGGTCCACACAGGCTTTCTTACATTTCAATGCCACGCGAAGGCCAAGACGCCATTTCTCTGATCCGAAGAAGAAGTCTCGACCTTAGTAGGGGTCTTTGAGAGCACAAGTATGTCTCTGCAAAAAAAGCAATGCATATATTATATATGTGAATCCAGCAAGCAGCTCCTTCCTAGCTCTTCAACCGGACCCCAGGAGTTGAATCCGGATGTCGCTTCTCAAGAAATCAAGTCAACCTGAAGATTCCGACAGTGTCGACATGTGCGCAAAACCCCAAAACCCACCAATGAAAGACAAGTGGCATCCGTAGGCGACAAGCTTCAAGAAGATCTCCACAACGAAAATGACGACAATGATGCTGTTCCTCGGCAAAAACATCAGGTCGTGGGAGGTGTAGATAACCGGGTGTAGAGACGGGTAGTGTTGAAATCAAGCCAGAAAGAGAGGGACACGTTCGGCCTGACCCACAGCATGAGAGTAAGCGCAGAGAACCATCCAAGGCACATTATGAAGAACGCTCTCGGATCATCCCCCGGAGGAAGCGGCGAACTGACATCCACCTCCCGATAAGAAATCTGTGATCTGGGAAATTGCTTGCAGACTCTGTATCGATCGTTCAGTATAGGACGGTCTACGCGGTGGAACACTCACACAGGACTGAAAAAGCTTGCCTGCAGGTGACAAGTAAACTTCTCACCTTCTTCCACTACGGTCCAGAGCTTCAATTAATCACTCTATGCCTCAAGAGCCCAATTCACAATCGGAAAGTCAGATGCGGCCTCAACTCCAAGAAGCACGAGGTTCGCGAAAATGACTAGCGGCATGCCCACCTGACTAATCCAGGTGGAAAGTTCATAGTTGTTGGATGATCAGAGACGGGCCGGGTATAGGACCAAGGAAGGTGCTGCTGGCACTTCTCTGCTTCAAAACTGACATGCGACGGTGAGACGATACTGCGCAAGCAACATCCTCTGCATTAGTGCATGCACACCGGTACGACATGACCCCACGCTACTGACAATTCCCCGGTACATTGCCGAGGCGGTCCATGCCCCCAAACATGCACCTGCATTTTTATGTTATGAACTTAACATCAGATACTTGGATCCTGCGATTGAAGTGAGCAGGCCAGCGAGACCCTTCCCGCCTGTGATTTTCAGCACACCGTAAGACAAGAACACTGGGGACAACATGTGCAGGCACTTGTCCCAGCAGTCTTGTTACGACTGTCTTCCGGCACACAATAGACCTTGGCACGTAGGGGTTTGCATGTATCTGCACATTCATCTATACTAAGCAAACATACGTGCATGTGGGCGCGTACTTCGGTGACTGTTACTGCCATCTCCCCACAGTTGTTTTTTTACTTGACAAGATCGACTAGGATGGACAACAGTGCACCTGGATGGTCTGGTTGCCCGTCCCGGTCACAGACTGTGCGCTGAAGCAAGGGAAGCGGATAGAGTGACGGTGACAGGTCATTGAACTCTGCGTCATGCTTTACCCATGACGGACCATGACATTCACAACTATGCAGGGACACGTTCAGCGCCTTGAAAATTGTGGACCTCACCAGCCGCTCGGAGAAAGACTTCGGCTCCCCTTCCATCTCTCCTGAGCGTAAAGACCCTCAAGGACATTGTATTAGAATGTATTGTACTGTGGTGTAGCATATTGCAGTATATCGTAGTAAGTTATATTGTGTTATGTTCTATTCGTTCTCTTTGCTGATATAGTACAACTTGTTGTGTTAGAATGTAGTATATCATCTTCTTCGATAGTGCATGATATTGTAAGATATGAGATGATATCGTATTATAATGTATTAGATCATGATCTATCTTAGTATATTATACTACACTACATTACAATATATTACAATATATCATTTAATATATCAATATATTGTAGAACATTATACTTTTATTTTAATATATATTATGATGAGATATTATGTTAGATTACATACTTTATTTTGATATAAAACTATCGTATATTGTATGAGATGGTACGATATTGTTCGATAACAAATCAAAATGCCGTAGAACACTATATTATAATATATAGCGATATATCGTAGCATAAAATATTTCTATTATTTTATATGTGATATGAGATATTATGTTAGATTACATAACACTTGTTGAAATAGAACTATGTTATATTGTATGAGATGGTACGATACTATTCTATATTATATCATACTGCCGTAGATCGCATTGTACTACATAGATCACCACATTGTACTACATTGCAAGCTATGATATGATATGATGCTGCACTATAGGTTATCATGTTGTCGTGTGCCATTTTGTACTATGTTACATGCTGTGATATATTAACTTGTAAGATAATGTAATATTATGTTATATTGTGGTATATCATACTATGTTGTGTTATATTGTATGATAGTATGTCATATTATACTTACGCTCCCAGTTGGGAATGCAACTACTTGACTGCTTGGCCCTTGGACGGCTAGGAACAGCGTCCACTGGCTACTTCCCCTTGGCTCTGACTCCCCGCGGCTGTAGTAGTTATGATCCATGATGAAATGCGGTGAGACTTCTGGCATTCATCACTAACCACATTGACAAGTCAGACCGAGTAGTGGGTTGCGTGCCATGGCTGCTGCCTCTCGCGTTGTAATGAATGTTTTAGTCCTGACTGCTGATACTGCTCCTGATGCTTGTGCTCCCGTTGCAACCGGTGATGATGATGCTGATGATGGTGAAGATGGTGATGATGATGGTGAAGAAGATGATGATGGTGATGATGAAGATGATGAGGAGGAGGATGTCGACGGCGATGACGAAGACGACGACCATGCAACTGATGAATGAACTATAGTTAGTAGTAGTAGTAGTAGTAGTAGTAGC